CCATGATGTTTTCCAAGGAGTTGTGTTGCCTAAACCTAACCAAATTGCCACAAACACTAGTTTTATTTTGAAAGTCTAACTGGATATTGCATGTGCAATATTGCTAACTTGACCGCAGAGCCCTACACGTGGAAAAATATGCTAAAGGGTACCCAGGCCATTAAAAAAACGCTGACAAGGGTGTTGACCAAGCATCCATATGTGACAAGTTGGGAATGAGAACGGATTGGTGGCCAAAAATCACTTCTAATATATTTTCCAACAGGAATCCTGCTAACCAAATAATTTGCGTACTATTCTTCCACTACAGTGTGTGAAAACATTTAAATGTGCCAAACATGTGTTGGGCACTCTCTCTGGTATATAAACAAACATACCAATAAGATGTATCAAATTGAGAAAACAACTCGTTTCCACGCTTCATATATTCCCCCCTCCATGAGTCACACACACCAACCCTGATACCACTGATCCCCTTTTGACAAAACTTCATTAAATGATGCTTCTCAGTGCTACGTTCTGCCATTCAGATTGATGCTGCTCGGTTGGAGAGTGAAGTGCACTTACGGCTGAAAATAAGGTGACATATTTCTTGCTGATTGGCCCAGACTGGACAGAATGACATGTTTGCTGTTGTTGGCTTGTTTTTCAGATCATCCTTTTCTCGCCAAGCAGATTTTTGGCAACATGCGCAGGGAAAGAGCCGTCCTCGGATCTCCACCAACCCCTGAGCTGAATGAGAAGGAGCTGGGCGGCGTTGACAGGATGCCGGCGGGGGGTTAAGCTGTGACCCAGATTTCTGCACGAGTCTTTGTCCTGGAGGATAGAGAAGATTCTCCTCATTCATCTCGCTGAGGGCCGAGTTTCTAGCTGTTATAAATACAGTGACCGAGTGGGAGAGAGAACAAGACATGGGCCAATAGAAGGAGAAAATGTGACTTTGAATTTTGATGTTCTTTCGCGCGATAGGTCATGCATTATGGATTGTTTTGGGGATACATGCGAATGAGAAGCTCGCTAGATATTTTGTTTCTGTATTTGTTTATTTCTCATTCTAAAATCAGCTGTATTTCTGCTGTAAAGGCCAATGGATCTGCAGGAGTCCATGTCATAAAAGTTCAGGAACTGCAAAGTCTGGAAAGTAGAAAAGCTTTGGATTTGTATCATTTGTTCCCACAAACCTCACTTTTGACCAAGTTGGTGCTCAATTCACAAAATGTAGAGATAGTAGATTATCTCTAAAGTAAATGGTTCTTGATGTTGAAACCAGCCACTGTCCTTCTGGCCCTTCTTCCCTTTGACTGTTACTTAGAGTCTCACCGAGCTGCTGACTGACTGCTGTATTGGTTTTAAATTTTAATGTTTTATAGCCAAGTGCTTTCTTTTGGCAAATTCAAACAGTGGACTAAATAACATATGAGGGGCCCTACAAGCCACAATTCATTCTGGCCCTCCAACATACATACAGTATATTCTTATTCACACATACATGCCTCATCCTTTCACATATATAAATTTTCACACATGTTCATATATTGTTTTATGTGAAAAAATCCAGTTCGCCATTAAAGGTTTGACAGATTTTTCCCCCCTGTTGAGGGCGTCCTTTTATTTTGGAGCATGCATTCGCTTTACTGTTGTCCGGCCAAATTGTCAATGTCGCATAACCTTATTGTCAGGTGATTACCAGTGGAAAGTTCAGTCAATTTATTGAGTTCTCCAGAACCAAAAGTTCAATTAAATGTGGTTTCAAACATGTTTCACTTTATTTGTCACAATTTGAACATTTAAAGTAAGAAACGTAAAATGTAAAAGTAGAGGCTTGAGGTCACAGAAACATAATGACAAAGATCTTAACATTCCATACACAGCAAATATCCATAAAATGGAAGAAAACTGCAACCACGAACATGAAAATATGTGAGTAATGTTGTATTATCACAAAGATTGGCACTGTGTTCTTCATTTTGCTTTGTATTGCACAACTACAGTAACTATCCTCCAATTGTCAATGACGGCACTGTGCTCCTAGTCTATTTGTCAAATCATAAATATCTGTTGAGGAGTTTTGTTTCTTTTTTTGGACTCAATATGGCTCTGATTTGAGGAATGCGAATGAGAAAATGCACAAGGTTGCAAAACAAATCCATACCATGATTTCCATCAAAAGTCTGAAGTAGTGTATCCATTGTAGTGTCACTGATGGTAATGCTAATTGATGGAACAACAACATTGATTGTCTGTAACCCTGAGAGTGGTCTGTTGTCATCAGTACCAAAGCCACTGTCTATATCACAAATACCATTCATACTTGGATTATACATTCCTACATTGTTGACTATGGCTGTTTGCCACAGCTGAAGGGGAGTTTTCCCACTTTGTGTTGAAAGACCATGATTATTCCACTGGTTCTGAAATTCAGTGGCAGCCCTTTGAATTTGTAGCAAATAAATATAATGAAGACAAAATAAATGTAGCTCATTAAGTTAATCAAAGATACTGTGCTCCTCCATAAAGTTGAAAAGATTAACTAAATGAAATGACACTACTCGATTTACCTCTGCCCATAACCTCTCAATTCTTTGACTGTGCACTTACCCGCCAGTAATAATACTTTTTTAAATCTTCTCTTGTAAAGAATGGAACGGGCAACACCAGCGTTTTCCAGTCCATGATCGCATCTCACTCTGGACGGTATCCAAAGTTCTGAAAACCAGCAATGAACAGTGACAAACACTACAGGCTCTGTTGTGTAGGCATGCAAGGTAGATGATGGTTCGACTGAAACCACCAACATATCCATGGAACACAATCCTCCATCTCATGAGTTTGGGGAAATGGAAATCAGTAAATCATGTGAAAAGTATAACAAGGCCAAGTTTATGCATCAACAATTTAACACAAAGAAATTATCTAAATAATAAGCCCTTTTACTATTGATGCTCTGTAAATTTAACTAATTTTATCGAGGTTCTGCACGTAGGTCTTACACTTGTAATCAATTAGTTGAAGTAGTGCATGGCGTCTTCTGAAGTTCTGTCCAATAGGGTCGATTTCTTGAAGACTCTGTCTAACATTGCATTTTTCAGTGCGTAACCCACGTGACCTCAGGCTCCCATGCACATATCGTTCACCTGCATTTGTGTTAGACTTTAATTTAATTTCACAAACAACTGAACAACTGTTTCCGAGGGATACTAAATGAGATATTTGCTCGCCTGAAATGCTGTATTAAGGTCTGCCTTCATGTCCACTCAGGACAGGTTGAGGCAAGAAGACGTAACTGTTCTTGGACCTGTTTTTTTGTCTGGTTTCATAAGCAGACAGCAAAGACTGACTAAGAAACGGTTAGTGAGCTCGACTGACTATTATAAATGAGACTGTAGCCACTTCATTACAGTTAGACTGCAATAAGTAACATTACTGTAGTGAATGGCTCTTCCTCTGTGGTGTTGTCCTGCGCAGTTATGTTGCATTATTGTATATTATGTGGGTCAAGTAAGTTATAGTGACTGAGATGGTGGAGAAGCTGTGTACCTGAGTATCAGTAAAATGACAATCTAAAGTGAACGTTATGAAGCTAAACAGCAGCAGATCCAGTCTGCTACTGCCTTGTTCATTATAGGCGAGTATAAACAAATTGCTTGCATGCTATTGCATACCAGTGGTACACAGGAAAGTAATATGGGTCGCGGCAGCTGGTGAAGTAATGTAGAAAGCCATACAACTGTTTTGCACTGGATAACGTTAGCAACTTGTCGGCGTTAAGCAGCACGCAAACAGTATCGAACTTGAGCCAACTAAAGCACAAAATCACAATTTGTTTAACATGCTTTTCAGTAATGTGAGTTTACTTGTCTAATAGGATATTGGTTTTGTTGGTTCCAAAACAAAGGTCTATCTGTGACGTGCTGGAAGCCGGTAGGTTTTTGGTCTTACATTTACTTATTTGGCTGACGCTTTTATCCAAAGCGACTTACAATAGCCATACATCAGAGGACGCACACCTCTGGAGTAACGAGGGGCTGAGTTTCTTGCTCAGGAACACATTTATGAATGTGTCACAGTGGGAGTTGAACCTGGGTATCTCACACCAGAGGCATGTGTCTTATTCACTACGCCACCCCCACCACGTCTTAGTGGACTCCATCTCATTAGCTGCAGTGTTGTTGGTGTGTGTACGGTTCAGATGCAGCAGGCAAGAGGCTCGTGAGCATGCATACACTTAACCGCCAATGGATTTCAGAAACTCCAACTCGGAGTCTTTACATAGGAAAAAAACCTGGGCAAGTGGATCGTTTTTATGTGAGGTTACAACCCCTTCAACACAAAACACTAACACAAAGTTTACATTTAGAATGTCTACTGAATAAATATTTTTTATTTTTTTATATCACTTATGAATATTCCACTCTGATCTTTGCACTTAATTCAACTCTAGTGTCAGGCATTATTCTTCAACCACACATCTCATCAGTGATCTTATTTACCTCTTTTATTTTCTTTAATCTAATGATTTGTGGTCTGAACATTTACTTACAGCTGTTGCTGTATTGGTCTGGCAACCATATCTATTAAATAAAATGAAAGAAATTGTGATTAACTTACATGGACGTGAAATTAAAATTTGGTGCATATTTGCAACAAAATCCCTGCAACTGTAGAGTTCAAAACTAATGTTATTCTCTTTATTTCAACGAGATAAAATAAATAAATAAAATAAGCATTTGCATATAAGTATTTATACAGTATCTAATATGAAAACAAGGTTTCCAGTGATGAACAAAGAAGTGCTTTGTTTGTGCGACACTGACGACACCTTGAGGGTTTGGATGCTTCGGTGTCACTCAGCTCACCGAGTGAGAAACCTTGGCAAGTGTGTCCATTGTCACACACAGAGTTTTGTCAGGAGGGGTAAATGTGGGAGGTGTCCTTGTGTGGGCAGTTCTTCGTATAGTTCTCCTCATTCCCAGAACCCCCTATTTTGCCCCCTCCTCCTCCCCTCCTCCTCCTTTATCCTTCTCCCCTCTTTTATCTAAGTGTTCACGGCCCCCACATTCTCACAGCGACTCAGAGCCGTGGAACGTCACATGGTAAGAACACTGGGCCTCTGCTCACACTAAACAACTAAACAACAAACCTTCACCACTAAACTACTCTGCATTTCTGCTTCTTCCAAAACCTGTTAAACCAAATAATAGAGTGTTGGAGACAGCGAAGAAAGAATTGGTTTTTGTCATGACTTATTGATGAGGGGTGTATTTGCAAGAGTGGGGGTGTGCTTTAAAGGGGATTATTTTTGTTTTGGTGCAGTGCGTCTTTGTTTTTCATCTCCCCGAAACTGCTGTTAAAATGCTGCAGCAGAAAGGTGCCAAAAGGGATCTGTCATTGGATGAATATGAACTTGTGAAATTAAATCCTGAATATGTCTAAAGGAAGAAATTAAATTTATAAATTTGAGAGGAAGAAAGGGACACAATTAAATATAAAGTTGAGTATACCTAAAGGTTTTGGAGTTGAAAAGGTTAACACAGTTGCAGAAATCAGTAGTGAACTTACATCCCTCTTTTAAAAGATGCAGCTTGTTCCTCAATGGTGTTGAAAGATAATTCACTTTGGGAAATGCAAAGAAATGTTTTGTTATGTTAATGTATTTAGCCAAACTGAATGTTGCATTACACTAATGATGTTTGTCCTCCTCAAAAACAGGAGATCTTTTAATAATAATAATACTGCTATTATTATTATTATTATTATGATAATTATGAACATCTAATGAATTCCAGCTCACTTAGACACAATTGTTCAAATTTTGCAAATAATGAAAAATAATTAAATATTGTGCAATTTTAACAATGTAGAAAGCTGAACTGAGACTATAACTCAAGCAGACTTTGATGCCACTTTGACTTACATAGCAAGATGCACAATGAGCCGTTACGAAAGAATAATGTAGAAGCTAAAGGTTTCCCTTTGTGTGTTGTGTTTTACAACTGCACAGGCCAGAGTGGATTGTCATCGTTATCGTTATACTCACTTAGAAATCTCAATTTAGATTGACTAGCAGGTGTCCATTAATTTTCTTTTAATGCAACAAGGAAGCTACTTAAATGGATTACAGGAGGTTCATGAGGTACCAGGATTGATGATTAATTGATACACTCTGTATTTTGTTTACTTGCAGCACAAACCATCGATTTACGTCAGTGTAAGCAGCATGTGTCCTTTTTGGTGTTGCACTGAAATTGACTGTGTTGGTCAGGTTTCGGAGGATACCATGTGGTCATGATTTAAGAGGGAATAATTTGTGAAATTAATCTTTTTGCATGTGTCTGAGTTGTACAAACAACAATGACGAATCATCACTTCCAATCATGAAACACAACTTGAGTAATGTCTACACAGGGGGGATTCTTTCAGTCATCTGTCTCCAGAACGTCTGTCACAGAACAGATGTGATCCATTTTAAGCAATACAGGCTGTGTAGCAAAACAGTGTTAGCAAACAACTGCTTATTCACATATCCAGCCACAGAGCAACATGAAATTTGCTATTGGAGTGGTGTTTTGTGTCCAAAATTCACTCTCCTTTTACCTCTGGTTTGGTCTCCACCAACTCCTGAGAAAGTTATAGTGTCTTTTTAGGCATCAGATTCTTACGTTTTACTGTACATGCATAACACACATACATGCAGTACTGCGCCTGAACGCATCCTGTGTAGACACTGATGGGGGACTAACCCAGGGATTCCGTAGCACACGGCTGCGTTCTGGTTTTGTTTCGTCCTCTGAAGCATTTCAGAAGCGGAGCGTTTTGCCTGCTTGATGTTGTTCATTTATCATTTTCATGCTTCTACCGCCGTGCACAGCTCTCTGCGACCCAGTTTCGTTCTGTCCTCTGCACAGCTTCATACGTTACGGGGAGCTTTTCAGAAGCAGAGTGTTTTGTCTGCCTGATTGCTTTGTGTGTTTCTACCATGTTTAAGTAGGCTACATAGTTTTCTTTTTGTCTGTTAATTGTTTCTATTGTTGATTTATGATTGGCACAGTGTTTTATTTTGAAAACTGACCAGATTCTCTAAGCTGTTTTTTGTGTCGGACTTCCTGCACGGTTCATCTGCTCTGTGCAGCTTGATGTGGCTTCTGTTAGAAATACACTCGCTCCATATTCTCCGCGGAGCAGAGAGCGGCTTTTGAAAAGCGCAGTGGGAACTCGAGCACTAATATAAGTAGCTGCCATGGTTTATCCACTGCAGGCTAAACAAAAGCCTAAAGAGTCAGGTTTGCAGTGAGTTTAGAACAATGAGCTGGAAAACTCTGAGGTCCATGTATGTGGGGGTTTTTGTTCCCAATGTGAAAGATAGTGTTGATAAAAAAATTTATTAAATAAATTAAATTGTTTTAAATTGCCTGATTGTAAAGCCCGTTCATTTATTCGGGGAGTGCTTTGGTTTCATCTGAAATAAAAACGCCACGATGCTCCAGAGCAGTATGTACTTCTGATTTAATTTTCCACTTCATTACAACACAAACACATTAACACTATTAAATCGGATTAATTATTGCTCCACCGAACCTGTTCTGTTGTTCTCACTGTATCACATCATTAATGGTATGCTGGCACAGGGAAGTAACCTGTTCAGTGTTTATACACTGACTCAGGGGCATGGTGGTAAACAGGATATGATTAATACCCACTCTAATTGTTTAGTGTCCAGATTGCAAATGCTGTTAAACACACGATAACTAACCCGAAAAACAGACCAAGGACAATCTGAACATTTAGATCGACTTAGATCAGTTTAATTTATTGACTTAATTTGTTCATTAAAATCTTAATATTGGTTTTATAAGTCCTCTTAACAAGAGAGTTTAACAGCTGATAAATCTGCAAAAGGACAATATTTATTTGAGCAACAACATATGAATTGACCTAAATTAATGCTCTATATTTAGCAGTATTTCCTTTTTATTTGTACCATTTAATACTCCTTGTGTACTTTGTGGTTTGTGATGGCCCAATGCCCTCCCATAAATCTTTTAAAGCTTTTCTAAAATAATTAATAATTTATTTTCAAACGTGCATTTCTATGAGTTAAGCTGTGATCCTCTCCTCCACCCTTCCTCCCTCCCTGCTTGTTGTTTGATAGCTACATGTCCAGTCTGGACTCTTCTTGGGGGAGTGTTTCTGACGCTTGGCTGATTTTCAATAAGCCGCTGAGACTCACCCCCCCCCCCCCCCCCGTGTCCATTGTCCATTTAACACTCATGTTGTGCCACTCTGGCCCTCTGGCATACTGATGGGGAAGGCATCCAAAATTCTCCACTCCAAGTTGTTTAGAACCAATTCAGTTGACATAATTTTAAATTGCACATTCTATTGTAAAAACAGCTAGTAGCAACTTTGGATACATTTTCATTCTAATTCGAGCCTCTCTGGACGGCTTTTCTGAACATTTGAACATTACGTATGTGGTAAGAATTGCGTAACACATTTCTGTGGTCATCTAATCATATTTCTGGGAGGGCTGTAACAAAAGACAATAGAGTTGCATTATGAGAAATGAATGATCCAGTGTTTTTGGAGCTTGACCTATACTTGAGACTATAACTCAACAAGGCTCTGTTGCCTTTTAGCCATGGTAGCACCACAGCTCTAGGGATGGCAATGTCAGCTAGTCTATCAGTCTGTAACTTTGTTAATTAATTAATGACTTTGGTGATCCCCGGAAGATACACAGGGGGATCCCGTAACAAGCAACAGAGGCATTAAAGAAAGGTGGTTAAGTCTTTATTAGTGCTGGGCAACAATAAAAACTTTTAATTGCGATTAATCGTATGATTTTCCTGCGATTAATCGCATTGTCATTTGAATTCTAAAGTAGTGTATTGCGCACTTTTAATTTAAATGTACTGCTATATACACAAAAGTGTAATAAGGTACAAGGTTGTATATTAGTCATTTAACAGCACAAGGCTGCATAACGAAACGAACTTTGTCGTTCCTTCATGCTACACACACACAACATACAATCAAGTGTAGGCCTATATTAAAATATGGTAACATAATAAAATAAAACAATATATAGGCTACAGTTATTTATATACATTTATAAAACGGGTAGCTGAAATCAAGCAATCTGATTGGCTCATAGTAGTGATATAATGAGCATATACAACAGATCCGTATCACCTCATGGGGGTCTCATGCCCCATTTACACCTGGTATTAAAATGCGATATGATAGAGATCTGATCACATTTTACCAGCAGAGATAAAGAAAGAAAGAAATAATGAGAGACTAAAATCATTGCTTATTACATGATTCAACATTTCCCACTCTCTCACAGACTGGAAAACGCACAAACACGCAAACACACACACACAGTTCAAAGACTGTTGCTCAAGGAGAGAGTTCTGGTAGGTAAAATATTAAAGTGTTATTATTTTACACACTGCTGGCTGCCGGCACACAAGAGCAAGCATATCATTCAAGTTGCCAAAGTCAGTCTCCTGACACTGGACAGTTTTTTAGTGGCTGCACAACAAACGGCAACGTGCAAATAAATATAAATAAATAGTTCTAATAATTCTAGCCTTTGATGTATGTTGCTTAGCAACAATCATTCACTATGCAGCCTACCGGCAGCCTGGTGAAGCTACTTTTTGTATTCATAAAGAAATGTCTGTTGATGAAATAAAGTCAAATTGTAGTGCGTCTGTTAGCCTGCTTTCTTTTTGTTACTTGGTAACTGTTTTATAAAAGAAATAGCTCACTTCAGGCCATGATATAGGCTTATTATATCAAAGTTAAGGGGGGAGTCCATCTTGACTGCGTTTGAGCACCAAGCATCATTGATGTAAAACACAGACATACATGTCTTGTATATGTGGTTTGCAATACAAATGTAGCATGTGGAATTAGATGCCACACAGGACACAATTACTTCAGGGGTTCTTGTAGCTCCAGGTTTATTCCTGACCACATGTACTGGTAGATTTACAGAGTGGTATGCTACTGAGTCTACTGAATTAACCTAAAAATGTTAGAGAAGGAAGAGATAAAATAAAATACAGAGAAATACAATAAAAATACAGTACAAAATACGGCAGTGGGCTATGAACTTCACCAAGTTTCACCAAACCCATGTGGAACTTCCCAGAGATCGCACAATCAATGTCATTTACCATGAAATTTTGTACACAATGGTCGACGATTGGCGCCCAAAATCCCAGCACACAATTCCAGTAGTGCCTAAATCAAACCATCCTACTATCCTACACAACGAAGTCTCCGCATCAATCCCTTGTACGTCCATTGCATGTTAACAGGAAGAAAGACCATGATGAACTTGGCGGAACATCAACAATACTACTCAATGCTGCCGCCTTGTGACCAGAGTCTGCCATTCTGTTTTCAATTTTTATAAATGATTTGGATAGAGATGTTCAAGCCAAATTACATTTATACGCTGATGATACAGTGGTTTACACCCAGGCTTCCACCATTTCAGCAGCAGTGCAGGAACTTCAGACTGCATTTCAGGCATTGCAAAATACGTTATTGAGTCTAAAACTGGTTTTAAATACACAGAAAACAAAGTTTATGGTCTTCTCAAAAGCTCGAGCACAGCTACTTGACAACTGTGGCCTCTTATCCTTAGATGGGAAATCAATTGAGAGAGTGTCTTCATACAAGTACTTGGGGATATGGATAGATGATAAGCTCTCCTTCAATGAACATATTACTGCGTTAGTCAAGAAACTTAAAGTCAAGCTTGGCTTTTATTTCAGAAACAAATCTTGTTTTACTTTTAGTGCTAAGAAGAAACTTGTGGAAGCTACTTTTCTGTCTGTAATTGATTATGGAGATATATTGTACATGCATGCTGCATCTTCCATCTTGCGTCATGTTGATTCAGTTTACCATGCATCACTACGATTCATAACAAATACAAAGTCCCTCACCACGAGTTGCAACCGAAATGGGAAGAACTACTTTCTCTTATTCAGCACCTTGGGGGTGGAATAATCTACAGAAAGAGCTAAAGTTAGAAACCCTTATGTCCATTAATGAATTTAAAACTACTGTAAAGAATGTTGTGACGGAGACATGTTCTTGTTTATCTTGAGAGTCTCATTGTGTTTTTTAACATTTTGTACTTCTTTTATCATGAAAATGTAACTTGGTGTTTGTTATGTATGCATTTGTTGTGATTTGGCTGCTACCTTGGCCAGGTCTCTCTTGTAAAAGAGATTCTGAATCTCAATGGGACTTCCTGGTAAAATAAAGGTTAAAAAACAAACAAAAAAACATGTATTGAACAATGTTACTCTCAAACAAAACAACAAAGAGCACATGTATTCACATTTACACAACTTTTAGAACTATATTAAACCAAAGTGGAAAACTTGCCTGTGACTAGATTTACCACCCGGCACACACATATTTCTAACTTGTAAATCTCAACTTAAACATTAATGTAATCAAATCAAATATAAAATCAAAACTATTTGCCACTGCAAGGGCGTTACTTTTTATCTAGCTTGTTAAAACAAGTTACCATCAGAGTCCAGTTTTCTTGGGGGGTTTGCTGAACAGGTATCAGCAGAAACAGTCTATGTTCAATCAGTAGCAAGTTTTCCCTGTTAGAAAACCTCCTGTTTGTGAGTTTCCAGAATCTATTACTGTTTAACTAAACAGGACATCAACAGGAGGGAATTCACACGGTAGAGCATCCCCACAAAACTAGATGTAGACCTATCAGGTAAAGTTATGTAGCCTGTAATTTTAACTTGAGCTACAGTTGTGTAGCGCATAAAAGCCGTTGCCATGGTTACTGTCCATAGAGTGCCTGCTGTTTACTCGCGGAGCGCTGTCTGCATCCAGCGTAGTCTGCCGAAACCTCCCTCCACTGCTTGTTTGGGTGGGTGATTTGCAGGCCGATCAACATCCCGCCCCTCCAGTGACCCAGGGTTTGACTGTAGTCCTACAAATAATTGTTGCCGTTAATTAACGCAATAATAACACGTTAACGTGCCCAGCCCTAGTCTTTGTAAATAACTTAAAATGTATATTCTTCAGACAATATAATGCTTCAATAAGCTATAATGTTTGGTTTATTTTGAAATGTTGTATTTGTGAATGTATATATTTCATATATGATAGAGTTTCAAATATGTAGGCTTTTCTTTTACAATAAATATCAATCTTTTCATAAAAGAATAATATTTCTTTTTTCGTAAATATCTAAAGTCGTGTTCTTAAAGAAAAAATTAACACAAACAAATAAATAACACGATTTCTGTTTTGTTATTATTATTATTATTATTATAGCAGTGAGTGCAGCGGCAACATCAGATCATATTTATGCTGGGGAAAGGGTAGTTAGTCCTAAAGTTAGCCGCTGTATTTCTACCCTACGCAGGTTAGGGAGCTTGATTTGGCTGCGAGGGGGACTCCGACTCCGAGTTCACTTCGTGTCGGAGTGGAAGTGACGAGGGTCTAGTTTCAGAAAGGCCCTCTGTCTCAGCTGTACTTTGTGTTTAGCAAATTAGCATGCAAAAATTGTGATGATAGTAAACATACCTAATAAATATCAGCACATTTACAGTGGCATTGTGAGCATGTTGCTACTGTTAAAGCTCTGCTGTGCCTAGCTGTTTTATTTCCCTGGTAGAGTTTTGACAACTGAAGACAAGATATTTCTTAATTAATCTAACAGGGAAAGGAAAGACAGGTCTAGCATGGAGTCACTAGCTGACCCCACAAGTGTTCACTGACCTTCTACCTCTCATTATTTCTCACATGTAACTGTCCTTGTTAGTGAGACAACAGTTAGACTGATCAGGTAGAGACAGTAGCTCAGGCGTCAGGCTAGCAGATATCGATGATCTCTGGGAATCTTACAAGGTTGAGTCTTACACGAATCTTACTGGCTCCACAGATTAGAGTACAATTTGTGGATAGTGATAGATTCCAATAAGTTGTAGCTCTGAAGTCTAAACATCAGATGGATTTGCTGTTCTAGGTTAAGGCCAGCTAAAGATGACGTAAGAGGGAAACCTACTGGCCCCAAAAGAAGTTCTCCTTCAGATTTGGTGTTGGCATTTGACATGTTCACGTTGTATGCTGGCACTTTATCTCCTCGGCTGGGCTCAATAAACCATGCTATGTTAAGTCTTCGTCAGTCTCTGAATCTTCTTCACACCTGAACCTGGCTCACAATAATTCTTCAACAACGGTGGGATTAAAGCTAGTCTTAGGTTGGGGGTAGAGTTAGGATTAGCCAATCAGAGGTGGAAAAGGTGGCAGGACTCAACACAAAGCCTCAAAGAGCCACTAGCTTTGTCTTGATTAAATGTGTCTCTGGAAAGTTGTCCAACTTTATGGAAGTGCAAAGAGCTGGGTCGCCCATTTAAATGTGATAGCTAGGTTTTACAAATCTGCAAAAAAATTCATTCATATGAACTGTGGAAAAAATATTTCTTTGAGTAAAGTTTACCTGCAAAATATTATCTGCCAGTGTCAAGGCCCATTTGAATAGAGATCTACCGCAACGGAAATCAAAGACAGCGCTTCAAGTGTTGGTTGCTGCAAAACGTTTACAAGGTGATCCATCATTGTTGCCATGTAGCTGATGCCATGGGATGTTGCTTGTGATTAGATTGGCCTTATTGTAGATGAAAACAGGAGAAGATTCTGACCAGAGTAACAAGGAGCTTTTTGTCTTGTTTGTGTAATGTTCTATGAAATTATTATTATTTTTTGCCCTCAACTTCAGCTGTGATTGTGCTGATCATTGTTGGATTATCTTTGGATCTTTTTAAAACAGTGCTTTTGCGCTGGAGGAGAAAAGTTACTCTCCAGTCATTCAAAGCTTAATTTAGCTATGTTTGACCGTTAAAAAGAAATGGCAAATAGCTAAATGTAGCAGAAAAAGAGCAACATGCTCATTTTATTGAAGTGGTGAAATGTAACTAACTTGTTTTAGCTCTGGTTTGGTCTCTACCAGCTCTTTAGAAAACTACCTGACTCTTTAGCTGCTAAATGTTCCACTTTCTTAACCAGCTAGTCTCTAACGTTGTCTGTCTGCATGCTGGGAGGCTAGTGTTCAGTGGGTTTATCAGAGCTTGTTTGCTGGAAACAGTTGACCGCTGGTTTGATGAGAGCGCTAAGCCTGGCGGTAAACGTGCCCCAAAACTAAAACTAGGATCAAGGAAAGGCTAAAATGTTGACTCTTTCTGAAAATAACTTTCAAGTGTTCTTATTTTTTTTTTTTATCCAAATGTCCCTTCCCAGCCACCATGAGTGTCCTGCCATGCAGTTTTCTCTTCCTCCTCCTCGTCTGCCTCCCCGTCCTCACTGAGACCAAGCGGCAGCCTGGTCAGGGAAAACCCGACAAACCCCACCAGCCTCCGCCATCACAGCCACCGGCCAAAAGACCTAGAAATCGTTCAGTCCCCGGTTCTGGTGAGCTGACTACCAAGGAGGGCCATCGCTGCACTTGGCAGACGTCTGGTGAAAGCCTGGTGACCCTGGTGGTGAACTGCAGCACTGAAACATTGGGAGACCAGCAGAGGTGAGTATCTCACCTGACTCGACTCTCTGATGGTGGTAAAAGGCAACGTCTCATCCACAGACTCTACACGTGATAGGATATTAATGAAGTTCACCTTTTAATGCCTTTAAATTCATGTCACCTATAAAACTGACATGTTAATGCTGGTCATTTTCAGTCATATAAATAATTCAGGGGTTCACTTGGTGAGGAGGACACTCAAACTGGAACTTATTATTCAAATCACCATCAGTGCAGAGTTTTTGGAAAACTGCGTATGATACATATTTATGACTATGAACATATGAGCTGATCCAAAGTTGGACAGTCTGTTTGAGTTTGTAGCAGGAGAGGTAAATCATACTGTGTGTGATGTTTAAAGATTGTTTACTTTTCAGAACAGTCTTTGCCAGTTAAACAGAAACATGTCATACAAACGCAAACCAGGGTTATTGAGTAGTGATTGCACAGCTCTCAGCACAGGGGAAAGGAGCCTGAGGCCCAGTTCCCAACCACGTAATAAAACAAATATCCACTTGAAGAACAAACCTCACAAGTACTTTAATGAATAAAAATTAGGGCTGGGCACGTTATTATTGCATTAACGCATTCATAAATTAACGCAGACAGTTATTTTATCGCACGTTAACGCAGTTTTTATCATTATTATTTTGAAAGTCCATTGCTCACTGGCTATGAATACATAAAGACCATGGGTCACAGGAGAGGTGGGATGTTGATCAGCCTGCAAATCACCCAAACAAGCAGCGGTGGGAGGCTTCGGCAGACTACGCTGGATGCAGCGTGTAGGAGAAGCAGATAAACAAACGCCATAGCGAAGTGCAGAGCTACACACTGCATGCTGATTAGTATTGTGGAAGATGTCGGTCTTAGGAACGTTCTCAAAAGGTTCTCTCAGGTAAACAGACAGGGAGACAAGCGCCCCACAAGTAAATGGCAGGCGCTCCATGGAGGGTAACCATGGCAACGACTTGTGTGCGCTGCACAGCTGTAGCCTATTTAACTTAACTAAGCGAGGATCAGTCTCTCCTCCAGTGATTTGTGCTGCGCGTTGCGTCCAAAAAGTTCAAGACAATTCAACTTCGGCAGCGGGCGGGCGTGTGCGTGAGGTGAGCACTTCACCTCACTCTAACAGGGACACTTTCTGCTGAACATAGACTGTTTATGCTGCTCCCTGACAAAAAAAAATGTTTCTGCTGATACCTGTTCAGAACCCCCCTTCCCCAAGAAAACAGATTTATATATGTTAACCTGTTGCTCAGAAGGTGCCTGTTATGATGTTATGATCCTCTGGACAACAACAAGCTAGATAAAAGGTAATTCGGCACCAAAAGTGACATCGGCACCAAGAACGAGTGTCATCACACTGATTGGTCAAGAGGGGAATCACCAAGTTGCTCTCAATCATGGTTGAGTAGTCAGTCCCCACACCCTGTGCAACTGGTGATCTGAACGATCATCTAATCATCCCAGAGGAATTTTGACATTGAGCCTGAATTAATGGGAAACTTGGAAGTTAATAGCCACAAATACATAAGAATGAAGGACAGCTACAGATTGTGGTTTTGGTTTAAAGAGTTAGTTTTTATCCATATCTATCCATTCAACCATTTCACTTGGATTTGGCACCTTTTTCTCTGCTTTTTCTGCTCAAATGTCAAATAAGCAATGCAATATATTTATTCATTATTATTTTATCTAGTTTTGAGGTATTAAGTGACTTGTATACAGTGGTACCTAGACCCTGGAATAAAACCAGCAAAGTAACAATGACCTGTTAGTATAACGGAGTGCTTTGGCTTTTACCTTTCTTGCATTTTGACTCAAGCTGACTTGACACTCCCCATGCCCGAATATAAAAAACTGCGCAGCGCATCAACATAGTGCGGTGCTCAATTAGACTGGAGCGTGTGGCTTCCTCCCAAGAGGGAACAATCACCGACCGTCCGAAGCGCACCCGACCGTCTCCTGGCCCTGGCCCTGTACGCCCCAGGGACCCACTCCCTCTCCGGTGCCTATAATGGGTTGTGTAGTAGGCCTACTACCAGCGCGCTGTTAACGGTTCGCTGGCTGGAGAGATTTTACGCATAGACTAATCCATGCACAACATGCCCCCACGGCCTTGTCTATTTGAACACGGGTATTTTGAAAACCGTGACTTTTTCTGTGTGGTTTGGCTGTTCGTCCACACGGAAACGCAGTATCAGGTCACTGAAATCGCACATTTTTGAAAACCCCTGACCAGGTGATTTTAAGAAACTCCGGTTGCAGAGTTGTCATGTAGACCGTAAAACTGGAGTTTTTGCCTTGCGACGTCAGAAAGCGCACCGTTATCTGCTGTGTTTGATGTCAGACTGTGCGCCACTACCTGCTTTGTTTTCCCACCAGTGTCCGTGCTCCTTAGAAAACAACAGGTGTGTCCTCCTCCCATCATGCACATATCCAGTGTGTTGCCTTGGAAGCTTTTTAACTAAGAAAAAGTGAGCTGAGAATAATGAAAGCCCATTTTAATAAGCAAGAAGGCAATTACTTTTGTGGTTGTCTAGACACAGGTGTGCTACTGAAGTTAAACATCTGTCACAAAGACCTGCGTGGTTTCTCTGAAAGTCAGTTTAAAAAACCTAACAAGACTCATGAAAGGCATTGTTTACTTTATTAAAAAATGACAGATTCTTTATGATTGTTCATGACTTTAATGCCAATTAATGCTTAAAGTCTCCTGGACCCAAAGTGTAGCTCACAATCTCAGAAATGCTCCTTGAAGTTTTCCTCATCAGTTTCAATCCTTGCATGTGTGTTGGCCAACTACAACATTTATGTACTTCTTTCTTGTCTCCCAATTTGTTGTCATCTTCCTCTTGTTTCTCACTCCCATCCTCATCAAACCGCTCCATTCTTCTTGTTCCTGCTTCTGCTCCTCCTCTAGGTATTGGTGTCGTTACGCCGGCAAACCAGACCTTTGCCAGGCCTACGGGGTGAAGTCCAGCCAGTACTGGAAGCAGCTGGTGGGGAAGCTGAAGAAGAGGCAGAACGCCTGTGAAGGAGAGAAAGTCCTGAAGGCCAAAACCTGCAAGAAGGCTCCTGCTGAGGCCCACATGAAGCTCGCCCAACGCAGCGGAGAGGAAGAGAGGAAGGGAGGGAAGGAAGGAGGGAAGAAAAAAGGGCAGCTGACCAGTAAGAGCTCAGAAGGAGGGAAGGCAGAGAGGAAGAAGAAGGAGGAGGAAGAAGAGGAGAAGAGGAAGAGGGAAGAGAGGCCTGGCATTGAGGAGGAAGGAGTGCTGAACGACATGGAGCCGGTGCAGAGTTACTGCAGCGAGGGATGGCACTCCGTCTGCTCGTTCTTTGTCAAGTTTTTTGAGGGTTGATAGGAAATTATGAAGAAAATGTAAAGCTCATTTTTGATACATACTGGTGCGAGTTCACAATCTGGAATAAATGAAGGTTTCAGCCACTTTGACTTGGATTTGGTCATTAAACATATCACTTTGTTAGTATGACCTTTTTGTATCATTTTAAACTTTTACAAATGGAGCCCCAGGCACCTAATTTACAATGTTTTAGTGGTATGATAATTAAAACCTGGCAATCTGTATTATCTATATAAAACCATTAAATCAAACCTGTCAATCCTGAATGAAAGCCACATTCATTAAAATGTTCCTCCCAGTCATTATGAACACTCACCGTCTGCTGATGTAAATTCAAATACAAACCAGTCTTATTTTGTTTGATTTCAGTTTGCGTTAATCGATCATATTTAGCTTTGGGTCATATAAAGTTTGTTGTAGTTTGTTTTCTAGAAATGGTAAATCAGATGAAATTGAAAAGTTGAGCTGTATAAACTGTGTAATGTCTGACTAACAAATAGGTGTAAGAATAATGTTTTGGTGCACTATAATCTATCAGTGATCATCACTGATGATGATGGTGTTGATAGTAGTGATTACTAGATGAATAGATGTGTTGTTTAACCTTGTTTTTATGACGTGTTACTAACAGTTTCTATAAACTTTGTGTAACTGCTTTGTAAAAACAATCTGGTTACTGTTTGATGTGATTTGTGGCAGTTAGACCCGTGCAACATTTTTAAAAATATTTTTCAAAGACATTTTAACACTGTTTCTGGAATTCTACAATAAAAACAAAATGCTTAAAAATGCTTTTTCCCCAGTTGTTCCATGTCATTTTAAATGCAAGTTCACACTGTCACCTCAGAGATTATTACCTACAGATATAATGTGCTAACATCTTGGCAATAACAGTATAAAAATGTAGTAATATCATTGAAGGGGTGTGAAAATACACAGGGGGGCAGACACTGGGATGGGGGGGCACAAACAGACAGCACAGAGAAAGGACAAGACCTGTAAGAGAAGGGGGATGGAAGGTGGGGACAACAGGGAAAAGTTGTGGGAAACACCAATTGCAGAAAGCAACGAAACCTGCAAAGAACAGAGAGGGGGGCTTGGGGAGGAGAAAAACACAACAACAAACAAACACAAACAAAAACAAACAATAAAAATAATAATAATAGTAAAAGACAACCAGCCGAACAGCAGCAATAAACAGCTGACATATTAAGACAACTAAGAGTAAAATGAAAACAAGAAACAGTCACACACACTAAATAAGCAACAAACACAGCCACGAGAGCTGGAATAATAATTAATTTAAATAAGTAACTGAAAGAAAGGCATCAGGAATAATTCTACCAGGGACAACCTAAGTTTGTTTGTGTCTGTGTGCGTGTGGGTGAATGTGTCTGTATATTTCTTATTTCTACTTGCAATTCTACTGCATTCTCCACCTTATTTTAGTGATTACTCACTACTTTAATCTGCTCACAATCTTGCTTTTCCCTTCAGTTCTCTTTTACCTGCACACACACTCACCTGGTCTCTATGTTTTTTTCCGTTTTCACATTAGCAGGTGCGCCGCAAGTGGAGGAGGATCCACTCCTCATGAGTGTATCCAACACTAGCACCCCTTCAGGTGGTGTTTGTCCAACTCCTTTTCCGTACAGAACCTACGTTTTGGAAATCATGTGACCTACGTCACATGACAAACACGTAGAGAGTGCAGTGACACAAAGAAGGTGAACCCCGACTGCACAGCTGTTGGGTTCACTGGTTGACATGCATACAACAGGGCTTAAAGCAAAAAAATTCTGTGCCTGAAATGCGTTTGGGGGTTACAACAAAGACAACTCTGCATTTCCTGCATTCTGGTAAAACTTTTCTGCCACCACCTATAATCAATGTTTGAAGTGGGAAAAGGGCTGGGCGATATGGCCAGAAATGTTATCACAATAAAAAATGTCACATCATTGATAATTGATAATTATCACAATAAATGTCAAATCATGATTTTTGCTCCTGAGTGAAAGTTGGAGAAACCAGACAGTTAATTGTGCCACTTGAAGCCAAACAGTGGACACAAAACAATCTTTTTTCGACAAAAATAAGTGCAGATTTGTCTATGATTCAAATGAATTAAATGAAACATTTATTGAACATTTGTTAAATTGTTATTGAGGATTACATTAATTATAGCGAGATAATTATTATCGTTTTATTGCCCAGCCCTGCTGGTACTCCCCATTTACACGTTGCCTTGTTTATCAGCCGGTATTAGGGTAATGTTAGTGTATTCATTATAATTTCAGATAGCCTACTATACATCTTACCACTAGCATAATATTAGTTCCAGCTGGACAGCAGTTTCATTTCTGTGGGTTGTTTCCATTCATTACATTTGTGTAAGAAAAATGTTCTACATGGTGGTCAGTCTCTAATTAGTTAATGCTAAGTACTACTCGTCAATAATCATTCATGCAGAACAAGTTCAACATTTCTAAAAGTTTGCTGTAGCGCATCAAATGTTTTTTAGTGTCCCGTCGCCTCCAGGATGTGATTAGTCTGTTCTCGAAAAGCTACGTTGATGAGCAACTTTACGCACCCGACTGCATGAAAAGCACAGAAGTTTCTTTCTCCTCTGTTTCTACTGGGAGATTAGGAGGCCGGCGAGAACAGAAACAGGTGAGCGTCACATAGTGCCCAGAGACCCTGATATGGAGAGGATACCCAAGAAAACTATGCCAAAGAGTAAAATGTAGAAGTACTGGTACCGGTGACCCACTTTAAGCACTGCTAATAATCAAAATTGACGCCACTTACCAGCCGTAGCCCATCGATGGATTACATTCCGACAAAACTGGCCTTTCTATGTTGGAAAAGGTCCAGACGATCCAATCCAGTAAAATATTTAGTCCAAAACGCATTTTTACATCAGTAAATCCACACGGACTGCTATTACATCGTTTAACTACAGTTAGCAAAAACAAAAAAAACGGTAGCCTACACCTTGACCTTTTGGTGACACCTTAATTGACCCAACAGAAAATTCGATGCCCTGTCCACGACCTACAATAGCCAATGAGTGTCCACGTGGTGAGGAAGTGCCAGTCCCCTTCTTTTGTGTATACACCGACAGAGATTGTGCTGAGGACTGCCGCTTCACACACACATCACATTACTGTTAAAAAAATAAGCAAGAATATTTTCCACAGACATAATTATATTTTCGAATATAAAAACGCCCCGCACCGGATTTCCGGCACTGTGCCGGAGAACTTTAAGCCCTGATACAATCACTGACTTAGGTTAAGACACGCCCCTGTGAAGTTTAGGGTTAGTGGCTATGGGGGGGCTGTCAACGCCTTTAGCTAGCTAACGCTACAGAGCTAACATGGCTAATGCTACTTAACGTAATTAAAAAAACAAATCAATCTTGTTTCCCACAGGAACTGAACCTGGAAAGCAGCTAATTTGCTATCCTTACACCCAAACCACCACTACTAGAGTGCAACATCGAACCCAACGTGGTACTGACTTACATCTGCGCTGGTGTGTTCACTGTTGCATTACCTGGTTTGTGCTTTTAAAATATCCACTGTCCGTGTCCATAATACCAAGTAACATCTCTCTCTTTGTTTCTCTGCAAAATGCTAAATTGGGTCGCCAAATCTAACTGGGTGGCCGTTAAAATATATAACCACTTATTGTTTCCACCAGGTTCCCAAAATGCTGCCACACAAACGATTTTTAAGTGGCGGGGCATCTTCTATGCTACATTTCTCCCATCCACTCCGTCATGCTTATATCGTGAGACAGCTTTTAATCCCAGCACTCGTTCCCTACAGGAGGTCTCTGTCTCCTGTGAGGCCATTCTTGTCAATAAGAATCTGTTCTTTAGTAACTTGCATGCTAAAAGAAAAAAAAAACCCACAAAATATCTTTTCACCTGGATGAGAAATATCGTCACGGTTTAATAGCGCGACTGTCTCATGGCATCTCCTCACACCCCAGTAATAACCATATGATATTTTAGTATCATGGTTATAACATGGTAATGATCTCTTTCATCTGATTATTTGAGGTAGATATTGTTTTAATAAAAGGTGTTATGTCAGTCAAGTAACTTTACAAGCAGAGTATAAAATTTAAAACCACCAGAACAAATAGCACAGGTGCTTTATATTATGAGGATCTTTTCTGTTTTTCAACCTGACTTCCATCTGTCAAATGGTGACCATTCAGGCGTAGCCACCTTTTAGATATTTTATTGTTCTCTCATAACGTTATAAATTATTGATGAGGAACAGTTCAGCTTGACCTAATGTGTCCTCTCTTCCTGTTTTTCCACTTTCTGTCTCTTTCACACACACTGACTCATCCTTCCTCATCTTTGTCCTTGTACAGTTTATTGATCTTTTTACACTGACGCAGTACAGCAGAGGGGAAAAAAAGCAGAAACAGGAGAAAAGGAAGGAAATAAAAAGTGAGTAGACGCCACTGTTCCACCACCTTGTGATTTATGCAGCTGCTGTTCACTTCTTGTTTCCTACCAACAGTCAATGACGGTTTCTTTTACCTGTGACCAAATCCTAACCAATCCGTCTTTGTGATCAAACCTTAACAAACTAACCACCCACTGCGTTGAACTATGACGCCCCAGTGCGTTACAAACTGACGCAGATGGGTCTTGACCATGCGTCCATGTGAGACGAGACGGGGTGTCAGAATGGGTTGGATTAGTGAATGCTTATGTGTTTTTGTCTGGAGGGCAATTACAAACAGCAGTTTAGTCATTTAATTTGAAGTGTGTAAGTTGTGGTGGTGTATGGTTTTGGGTCAGGTATATACAATGTCGCTAACATGTACTCTACAGTAACACTCTGTTGGTACTTTGTATTTGAGCTGTGCATATCCTGTCAACACAGTTGTAGACCAAATCAGACTCCTTCCCTTTGGCAAAAGAAGCTTTGGTTTAGGCAGTCTTTAGGCAACCCTGTCTCCTAGAAATGAAGTTTATATACTAGTAATTGTTTGTGTCTGTGTGTGTCTGTGTGCGTGTGGGTGAATGTGTCTGTATATTTCTTATTTCTACTTGCAATTCTACTGCATTCTCCACCTTATTTTAGTGATTACTCACTAATACTAGAAATGTGTTGGGGAGACACAGTGACACTCTGATTCTGACTTGTTTTGCATCAGGCTCTGCAGTTTTAAAAATAGACTTCTAACTTTGCAGTGGAATGATTCCCAAGGACAGAAAAAGAGGGACGGACTGGGTATTTGGAG